GTCAAATGTTATTCAGATGTTGAATTTTGTTAAAATTTCAAATCCGGGTTCAAACCGGTCATTTAGATCTTTCAAATATGCTCATCATTTGAGTCTCTATTTTCTCTCTATTTTCTCTCTCTTCTACTCCATTTTTAATTTCCTGTCCTTTTCCCACAGTATCCTTCTTTTTTTTTTTCTCATTTATTCTTTTAACGCTTTTCTGTTTTCACTATTCTTTCTATTTTGTGCACGATATAAACTCAACTTCATTGCTGATTATTCATGTCATACTCTTTTCTATTTTTCTTTGTGTACAATGTGTAAGCTTATCTTTTCTCTTTTTTTTTTCTATCAATGTTTATCTTCTGGATTCTTCTTTCTCTTTTTCATAGTTATTTTTGTTTCTAGTTAAATCGTTTATCGATACAGACAGAAGGCACATTTATGAAAATCGAGTAGAAATGAACACCTGCCTAACAAAACAATGCTAAAACTATATATATATATATATATATATATATATATATATATATATATATATATAAGTATATAATTGGTATATACGGAATGAATTCCAATAACCAACAATTACTATTCTTAAAAGAGTGCTCAATACAAAGTAGAGCAGATATAATTATTATTTATAAAAAAAATATAAGTATGTTATAAAATCACTACAAAAATAGCCATTTTGTTTCAACACACTCTGTGTCTTATCAAGTGATGATGTTGAAAATAAAATAAATGGGTGAAAAAAATCATTTATTTTATTTTCAACACCATCACTTGATAAGACACAGAGTGTGTTGAAAACAAAATGGCTATTTTTGTAGTGATTTTATAACATACTTATGTTATAATTTTTTATAAATAATAATTATATATATATATATATATATATATATATATATATATATATATATATATATATCAAAAACCTTTAACTTTTCTTAAAGATGAAAGTCTGAGGTAACAATTTAAAAAAACAAAAACAAAACAACAACAAAAAAAGTTACATCAATTTACCTAGGAGTTTTTTAAATTTAAATTTTACTTGTATAAAATTAACTTTAATGTTAACATTACCTTTTTTCAAATGCATTTAAACAAAACGAAAAATGTTTTCTTATTAATCTTTCAATTATAGATATTTCAAGAACGGGCACTTCAAAGTGGAGTAATGGTTAACAAGCCTGCCTAACTAGATCGACTATGAATGAGTAGTGAGATAGATCCTCACTAGGTTCTTCACACTTTCGGCTTTGTGTCACATATAAGCTACGGTGTGATGTGATTACGACGGAGTAGTGAGTTCGATCCTCACTAGGTGCCCCATAGGTAATGCTTATAAATATTTCAAAATAATTTATGATTGTTCTACATGCAAATAACAAATTGGAAATATCAAAATCAAAGAAGTACAACAATTTAAATATCTGTTAAAATATATTTTAACAGAGGACGACACTGAAATCCGAAAGAGCATTGGAATAGCGAAAGATGCCTTCCAAAAGCAAAGCAAAGCAAATTTTTAAGAAACAGAAAAACTTTGTTAGAAGCAAAGGCTGTTAGGTAATATCAATACGCCTATATGTCAGTGAGTGCTTGACAATCTCCTCACAGGTAAAGAAGACAACAGAGAAGTGGTTTTACAGAAGAATGCTGAGGATACCATAGACTGAACATGTGAGCAACGACGAAGTTATAGAGAAAATGTAAGCAAAAAGGACACAATATTTAACATCAGGAAGAGTCAGTTGAAATTTCTAGGCCGCATAATGAAGAAAGAGGGCTTAGAAAATTTGATACTCACAGGACAGATTGAAAGCAAGAAGGACAGAGGAAAACAACTCATAACCTACTTGGCAAACTTGAGTAACAAGGTTTAGGAGAGATAACAAAAATATAAAATTTATTAAGAGCTAAAAAGGACAGGAAATTTTGGAGAGTCATGATCGCTAACATCCTAAACGAACACGGCACATTGAAGAATTGGTAATAACAATTTGCGTACGTTTTCACCAGTATTACAATTAAATCATTTAAGAACGTAGTTATGTGATTATCTTAAGATAAGATTAAAATGACTTCTTATTACCTTACACATTCGGTACTGTAGGCTCGAGAAGGTAATGTTTTGTATTGGCAGGTATTTTTTATTTTTATTTTTCAACTAGTAGAGAGGGACAGATTTTAAGTTTGTCCAAACACCGTCAATATACGTTTAAAGTTTAGATGTCGATACCAACAGGAATAAACACGAAACATATCGTCGTGGAAATTCTACCATTATAGTCTCATATGCAACTACAAAAAGTTGTTTGTTGAATTAGAAAAAATTGGATAAAAACAAAAACAATTTTAAAAATTCATTTTGTTTTAAAGATGCGAAGCAATTTTATTAATTTTAACCTTTAGCTGACTGCATTATTAATATTACTTCCCTTTCTACTGCATATATTAAAAGCCTCAATTGCATTATCCTTTATGTCAGTTGTTTTATGTTGTCATAACAGGATATGACAACACCCTATTTTCAGGGATCAGAATCATCTTCAGTGGCAGAATAAACTTTTTTTTTGCAGTATATGAATTCACATACAGAGTGTTAAAGATTAAGTATTTAATTTAAATATTTGTATCTATAAAAATGACGTATAAACAGAAAATATATTAAAATAAGTATTTACAAAACATTTAACATATTTTTTCATTTTATTGTCAGAATTTGATATTTTACAATATTTTAAACGATTTTCTTGGAAATTGTTTCAAATATCATGAAAATAAGCTTTTTCATCAATTTTCCGAGTATATTATATTTTATCAATTAAACAAAGGAAAAAAAAGGAAGACTCAAAGCGTTTATTTTATAGCTTAACGTATCTACAGACATTGAATTATTTTAATTTTAATAACACGTTTTCCATTTCAAGGAGAGATAAGTGCCAATCAATTCCTTCCATCATGAGTTAAAATAGAAAGAAAAAGACATTAGCAAAGTCTAATAATTAGTTATTTCAAAATAATGTTTGCAAGTAGAAGGTAAGTTTGAAAGAATAAAGAAAATACTGAGAACGACCGTGTTGCCATGAAAATATAATTTTTTCGTAGAGAACCAGAAAAGTAAAAAAAAGTCATAAATCCTGACGAATAAAGTTTCATTCCTTTTTTTTTTCGTCTTGCCTTATAAACAAATAATCTTTAAAATGATGCAGTTTCAGAGAGGGAACTCATTGCATTTTATTGCATTAAAAATCGTTCGTTAACATGAGGTTAATATTTTGACTAATTTTTATATCAACACTGATAAGAAAAGCTTATAAAATGTTTATATTTCCCTCAAGTTAATTAATTTAAACGTTTTCACTTCCACTTTTCCTCCTCCCTTTCTTAACTACTTTCTCTTATTATTTTCTATTTCATTTTTCGTCTTCTTATCCTGGTTATGGCGATAAACTATATCAGGCAGCAAGGCCTCTGACTGGGAGATTTTGAGAAGCGTGAAACCATCTCTTAATTGCTATTGTTTCCATGTCCACCCTGACCTGGACCCTAAACTGGGGTCAAAACATTATGAAAGTATAAAAATACTTATTTGTAGTAAGAATAATAACAATACATTTTCATAGTAAAAAAAAAAATACCATCAATACATTGTTGGAAAATGAAGAGAAAAATTACCAGCAATATATTTTGAAAAAAAAATTACCAAAGCTCCCCCCAAAATTAAATTTCAGCGATAAATGACCCGTAACAGATTGGTATGCTGTTAAACAAACCAAACCAAACCAAACCAAACCAAACCAAACTTTTTTTTTTCAGGTTTACTTTCTATGATTTCTGTCTCTTTCTGTTCCCTTTTTCTCTTTCCTCCGTTTTTATTTTCCTTCATTCCTCCCCCTGCTTCTTTATCGTTCTTTTCTCTCTTGTCTTCTCACTCTTTTTTTTTCGCTCTTTCTTCTTACTCTCTTTTTCACCTTTTTCTTCTGCTTCTTTTATCTTTTTCATCTCCCTATTAAACTTTTTTCCCCGACTACTGAGTTTCAGTTTTCGATTTTTAAGTAACGTAGTAAAATTTGTTTTTGTGTCTGCATTTTGAGATGAGTTCTGATCGTTTATTTAGTAGTTTGTTTTGGTATCGGAAGGTAATTTTTTCCTCCAAGCGCGCTTGCAGTTTTTGGATTGATTGTTGTAAGCTGATTTGTGGCCTGGCGACTGCGTTTAGCATGAAACAGTCTGTCGCCTCTGAGTGTTGACTTCAATGTTCGCTATTTATATTTACATACGCCCTATCTCTGATATTGAGCACATTATCCCATAAATATAGCTTACCTTAAAACTATACATATATATGTATATATATATATATATATATATATATATATATATATATATATATGTGTGTGTGTGTGTGTGTGTGTGTGTGTGTGTGAGAGAGTCAAAAATTAAATTATCCGTACTTTCGTCATAACATATCTTTAGGTTTGTTACGCTGCCTTCTGCTCATGCGTGCTTATAGTTGGTACTATTGTGGTCACATGATCGAAGTTTGAACTTGGGCGCGCCAGTTTTTTTGCTGCTGTTACAGTGTAAGCATGGGTGGCAATCAGTCTAAGAGAAGGAAAACTCTAAATTCCAAATCGTGGAGAAAGGAATGAGAAACCACTCCATTATCTTTCTCAAGAATCCATAGCAGTTCACAGATAATAAAGAAAAGGAAACCGTGGAGAGTCATGATCAATTACGATATACTTTGGTGACGGAGAAACTGTGATTATTCAATGGTCAATAAATAATTATTACATTTCATACTCAGGAATACTGAACTGAAAAAATGATTCAAGAGAAGTTTTCCATTTGACTTTTGACAGTATAGGTAAGCTCGTTAATAACGCTTCATTTAAGAAATTAAAAAAAATGTAACATATTTATTTAATCATTTAAAATACAAATTTTGGTGTGTCGCTCTCTGAAGCCTTTAAAATTGAAATGAATTTTCATTAGGTTTTCCTACAATGAAACATTCAGTTAATTTAGGCAAAGCTAAGTTGAATATTTTCGTTTTTTTTAAAACTCTCTTGCCCCTCTCTCTCTTGCCTCTCTCTCTCTCTCTCTTTTTCTCTCTTTCATTTAGTGTTTATTACCACCCATTTTTTAAAAAATAAAATATCATCTTTCTTTTCATTTAAAGCCAGTTTTTCTTTCTATTTCTCCCTAGCGGATCGATCGTTTTCTCAGTTTCTGTCATTCTTCCTCCCTATTCAGTTTCTTTCTTTCTTTCTTTCTTTCTTTCTTTCTTTCTTTTCCCCCATTGTCTGCTCTCTATGTTTACGTCTTTCTGTCCGTATTCTTCCTCATTTTCTACTGCATTGTCCTCTTCCAAACTCTTTTTGTCTGTTGTCCTTCTTGTTCTCTTTTTATTTCTTTATCTTTTGAATACATTTTTCTCTTTTTTATTTCACTCTCTCATTCTTTTTACCGCATTTTCCCCCTTTCCTTATTTTATTCTCACTTCATGCGCTATTCACTCTCCAATTTCAAAATCTCTTTTTTCTTCTCCTTTATTCCCTTCTTCCTTTTCTGTGTAACGCTTTTCTATTCGTTTCTTCATTCTTTCTACTTCTCGTATATTCTGCCTTTGTGAATATACAGAAAATGTCATAGAACTCATCTCTATTCTTTCTTTCTTTTTATGTGCCGTGCCCTTTCAGGACGTGAGCGATCATGGCTCTCCCCACTAACCCTTATGTCTCTCAATAAGTTTCGTGCCTCTGCCAACTCTCCCAGACCACGTTCTGCTATCCACTTGCTTAAGCCCGTCAGGTATGTCATGCGTTGCTTTCACTTGTCTCTTTTCCTCTTTATTCGACCTATGAGTATCAGATTCTCCAGGCTCTCCTTTTTCATTAGGTGTCCCAGAAATTTCATCAGCCTCTCTTCCTTATGTTAAGTATAAGCTTCCTTCTTGTTTGCATCCTTACCAAGACCTCATCATTGCTCACAGGCTCGCTCCATGATATCCTTAGCATCCTTCTGTAGAACTACATCTCCGCTGCTTTGAGTCTCTTCATCTTTAAGGAGACCTTCCAACATTCGCTGCTGTATAGGAGGACAGATGTCACGTAGCAGCTCAGTACTCTTTTCTTTGTCACCAAAGAAATCCTCCTGTCTCGTAGTACTCCGCCTAGAATGCATCCTTGGCGACCCCAATCAGTCTTCGGATCTCAGCGTCGCACTTACCGTCCTCCTTTAAAACACATTCCAGGTATTTAAACTTCTGCGCATGCCTGATTTTAGTGTCCCCAGCCTGCAAATCGCGTTTCAGGCTCATCCTTTTACTGATAACCATGCATTCTGTCTTCTTAGTTTATAGTTAGTCTCTTCTCACTCTCCCTCGTTACCTTCTGTAGGAGGTTTTGTAGTTTCTTTTCCGTGTCTGCTATTAGTACTGTGTCGTCTGAGTATTTTATATTGGTAAGAGTATGGACGTCATTTCTGAATCCCAGTAGGATCTCCAATTCTCTCAGTACTGCCTTGTCGTATAGGTTGAATAAGTCCGGTGAGAAGATACACCATTGCTTTACGCCCCTTTCTATTTTTGTAGATCTGCTGGACTCATTCTCTATGCATATGCACACCGTTTTGATGCTAGTATAGGTCCTTGATTATTCTAATATCTTTCCCGAATATATCAAGGTCGCTGAGCAGTTCCAGTAGATCCTTGTGTCGTACTTTGTCGAACGCCTTTGCGTATTCTAAATTAAATACAACACTATATGTCCAGGTGACTCGAGGTGCGGTAATAGCCAGCTAGTCAGGTTATTTATGAGCAAAAGGTCTCTATTGCAATGAACGTAAGACAGAATAAATCACACCCTTCCCTGAACAATCCGAGTTGAAATCACTCAATAATACATCCATCAAAGAGATGAGGACTTCAAATCAGATCTCACATAATAGATCCCCAAAAAGACTTCAACATCTGTAAAGCTCTTGCACGGATTGCGTGTAACAAACATGACAAGATTTGGCACTGGAATCTTTCATCCTCCTTAAAAGTCCAAACTTTTAGAACATTGATTGAACCAGTCCTACTGTATGGATCAGAAACTTGGACATTATCTGTTCGTCTTGAAAGACAACTGGATGGTGCATATACAAATCTACTAAGAAAAATCCAGAACATCAGTTGGAGATCCATTGCAACACTTAACACAATCTATGGAGAACTGCGACCAATCTCTCTTAAGCACAAGCAAAATCGACTACAGCTTGCCGATCACAGACACCGAACGGACAGAGAAGTCATCTGATCCTTACTCCTATAGCAGCCTTCCTGAAGTGTCTTCTCACGAAAATTGACTTTTCCATAGCTCGGGGACCCAGGGTTGGACATTGGAGATCTGGAGACAGAAATACAGGACCGAACTGTGTAGGAAGGGATTGTCAAAGGAGTTCTGACCAATCATAGGGAGGTTGAAGGATAATGGTGAGCAATGAAATTTTCCATTATTGTGATTAAAACCTAAAATAAAAAACAAGACAATTCGTTTTAAAGTTTGCTGAATTGCTATGTAATATCAGCCCTCCTATATTACAGTGAATGATTGAGAAATATTCTCACAGATGAAGAAGAGACTTGAATCAATAAAGATGTTATACAGAATGATATTGAGAATACTATAGATGGAGCATGTGAGCAATGAAAAAGTTTTAAGAAAAATCGAAACAAAATGGACGCTTATACTTCGAATCAGAAAGAGTCAGTTGAAAGTTCTTGGACACGTAATGAGGAAAGAAAGCTTGGAGAATTTAACACTTGCAGGATGTATTGAAGCTAAAATGGTTAGAGGACAGCAGCGAGTAGCCTATCTAACGAACTTTTGTAAATGGATGGCAGAACAGGGACCGGGGAGATTGTAAAAAGACAAACCTTACCAAGAGCTACAAAGGATAGGAAATTGTGGAGAGTCATGATCGCCCACGTCCTGAAGGAGCACGGGACATAGACGAAGAAGTGGCCATCAAATTCTCTCTTTTGCCAGTCATTGTATAACTTACTAACACGACATGAAGATCGTCTATTCCTATTTGTAATTATAGTCCTACAAAATGACAAAGTTGCCCTTTTCAAAGTGTCTTGTTCTATGAGAGATTTCGGAGCCCTTCTGCTTTTCTGTTTCATATTTTTGCAATTAACTTTTTATTTTTCTTCCCATGAAGTCGTTCTTTTTTTTCCCGCGCACTGTTTTCCATTTGGCACTTTCAAAATGACTACACATTTCTTTTGCTCTCCTTCTTCTTTATATTGACCTCATTCAAAACCCTATTTCACTGTTTTCTTTCTCTCTTTCTCTTTATGGCGTAATACTTTTTTCATCGCCTAACCAAAGGGAAACTCTCAATAGATGGATTTTATCTGCCAATCCTAAGCATAATTTAAGTCTTAGTTAAATGTTCATGTTACTTTCTCCACTAAAGTACTTCACTTTCTTCTGACATCTTTTTCCAGTGCTGCTTTAATTTTCTTTCTTTTTCTTTCTTTCTTTCTTTCTTTCTTTCTTTCTTTCTTTCTTTGACACCTTTTCCCAAGCCTTTTTCTTTCGTCTCTTCTTCTATCCTTTCAATTGTAACTGTTCTTTCACTAAAACCTCAATACTTTTTATTTTTAATTTTTCAGTATTTTTAAAGATGTTCTTAAAAACCAATCCTGCCCTCCACTGCTTTTGGCTTTCCCGCCCCACGGCACGTTTTGTGCGATACATCAAACAATTACCGGGTATAATATTTTGAAATGCACTCTAACAACCTTTACGCTCCGTATCGTACACACAAGAGCCCAAAGATCGCCTACTTGGCAACAAAACCCAGTCTCCTCACACTTTCTTTCTCAATTTCTTAAACTCGCATACGTTTACTCGAAATCCAGACCGCCCTGAAAAAAATATCAGTATGACTGACGGAGACAAAAATCCGTTCAGGGTGGGTGGCCCCATTTGTCCAAAATTCACTTGAGTACTTTCCCTGTGGGAACGAAAGTAGTTTTAATGGAATCATGAAATCCTATCTTACCAAATGCAATCTGACTGTCGATGTGTTTCACTTTACTTGTTGACCGATGTGAAAATGGCGTTGATGAGCATTATGTCAATCTTTATTCGAATTGAAATTTGCATATTTACTGTTTACAGAACTTATATAAGGAGAAAACCACCTGTCTCTGGATAGAAAAGGAACTCAGTAAATGTACAAAAATAGAAAATGGCGTAAGACAAGGATGTGTCTTCTCACCGGACTTATTCAGCTTTTACAGTATGGCGATCCTGAAAGAACTCGAAGTCCTAACAGGATTTATTATTGGCGGACACAATCTTAATAACATGAGATATGCAGATGAAACAGTGTTAATAGCAGACACAGAAAGAAAACTGCAGGAACTTCTAGAGAAGACAGTAAAGGAAAGCGAGAAGAAAGGACTAAACATCGGTTGTAGGAAAGCAGAATATATGGTTGTCAGAAGAGAGACATCGAACTATGAATTGGTGATACTAAAATCAAGCAAGTATGAAAAAATAAAAATATCTGGAAACAGAAAAAGGTCATCTGGTCCGATAAGTGTTGCTTTCTTATGAATAACATAAACAGTAGAGTATGTGTATCTTATTTTGCTAGCCAAGCGATAAAACCAGAATTTACTATGAGAAAGCAACAAGCTGGTTGTATTTGAGTGATTGGATAACATTCCTCTGGTAAACACGTAGTCTTATCATTCACGTAACATTTACATCAAAATCATTGAAAATAGCGGACCCTTTCTCATGTGCATAGTCTCCTAAGATGACAGTGACAACTTTCAGCGGGACAATGAATCTTGCATGGGTTAGAAAGGAATAGGTTCAGGATTAGGTAGAAGATCACTCTGTGTCTATATGAGCATCAAACTTCCAAGATCTCAACCCTCTTGTGCACTTTTGTGAGTAATTCGGCATGTGTGGATAGCAAATACCTTAGGGAACTGAAAACGACAGTCTGGCATAGTTGACTGACACGAAAGTGAAATTGTGAAGCATCATGTGGAGAAGGAACTCGTTATCCTGCAATCAATAGCTTGCGAGAGTAATTTGATGACCATTACTAAATGATAAACGCCAGTAGGTATGGTGTAGTAGTTGATAGCGGATTGAGGAATCGGAGAGCTGAGTTCGAATTCCAGTCGAATCCATTACATTCACTTACGTGCTAATACCCTTGGGAAAGGTATTAACCCTCTTCTTCTCCCTCCAGCTATGAATAAATAGCAGAACAGACGGGTCTGAATTCAAAACCTGTGGAGGGTCGTTTGGGGACCTTGTGGCACGTAGTGCACCAGGTCTCTGTATTCTGCCCTTCAAAAAGTGTGGTTGGTTCTGCACAAAGTCTTCACCACTATAATCAAATGTGCTGGTTTTTGGCATGTCGGTTCCGAGGAATTGAGCTGCTTGACCCCCATACGTCGAATACGACGGGAGAGTCCACCACACACACACACACACACACACACACACACACACACACACACACACACACACACAGACATATATATATATATATATATATATATATATATATAAAATGAATTAGATAAACATAAGAACAGACTGTGGTAGATAGATAGATAGATAGATAGAGAGAGAGAGAGAGAGAGAGAGAGAGAGAGAGAGAGAGAGAGAGAGAGAGAGAAAGGGAGTGAGCTGAGACAGATTTTTAGATAGATAGATTCGAGTAGTTTGAGATAAATAGAGCACCTTGAATAAGTATTTATCTTCCTTGAAACTTTTCCACAGTTTGTCACATCACAACCATAAATTTGAATGTATTTTTATTGAGCTTTTATGTAATGGACCAACCTCATCTAGAGCATCATTTTGAGGAACTGATGTTGGTGTAGAGGAAATGTTACATGACTTTCAAAACTTTTGCAAATGGAAGTCTGAAAAATGTTGAGTGCACATCTATTCACACCATTGCACTACAAAACCCCTAAATAAAATACAGTTTAAATTAAATCTTAATTAGTAATGAGTAATGGAAAGGATTAAAAAGTGTTACGAACACTTTTGAACATATCACGGAGCAATATTAAATAAGCATCCGAACATGGAAAGAGTAAAGTATAACCGGAAACTTACCAATAAAAGGCTGCCCAGATGAACTGATGTGCCAGGCAAGGAGAGAATTAATCAGAGAAGCAACCAAGAAGCCTATGGTAAATCTAGAGAAGCTGCAAAGATCCACAGATCAGGTGGGAGAATGTGTCCACATGACAACTATTACTTGGGCACTTTATAAATCTGGCCTTTATGGAAGCGTGGCAAGAAGTTCCATTTGCAGTTTGCCACAAGCCATGTGGGTGACACAGCAAACACACAGAATATGGTGCTCTGGTCAGATGGAACCAAAACTGAACTTTTGGGCCTTAATGCAAAATGCTACATTACCCATCACCATGAGCATACCATATCCACCATGAAACATGGTGTTGACACCATCATGCTATGGGATTTATTTTCTCCAGCCGGGACAGGGAAGCAGGTCAGAGTTGATGGGAAGATGGATGGATCCAAATACAGAGCAATCCCCGGAGAAAACCTGTTACGGTCTGTAAAAGAGTTGAGACTGGAGCGGAGGTTCAACTTCCAGCGGGTTAACGACCTTAAATATACAACCAGAGTTGTAATAGAATGTTTTAGATGAAAGTGTGTTAATGAGTTAGAATGGCCCGTTCAAAACCCAACAGAATCTGTGGAAGGACGTAAAAAATAACTCCATTCAATTTGTGCTTGAGTTATTTTGAAAGAAGAATAGGCAAACATTTCAATCTTTGGATGAGCAAAGTCAATAGACACATACCTTAAAAGACGTGCAGCTGTAATTGCAGCAAAAGTGTTTTCAAAAGCCCGTGGTAGTGGTGAATAATTATGAGAAGAGATGTCAGAATTGTTTGTGTTACCGTTGTCCCCGGGTTAAAATCGACATATGACGATTCGTTGTTACAACGTAATCTCCATTAATCTTGTTTAGATTTTTGCCGTTTGCCTCGTAAAGTCGATTTGGATCAGTTCCTGGTCGTACGCCATATTCGATTATTGTGCATTCACTCTTTTTCGTTTGTTTTGTGTTTGTTGAAACTCATTGCCCTTCATTATTACTTCCAAGTTTAGTTTCACCACTTCTGATGGTGGTGCTTCGAAGAAAAGGAAAGCCATCATCGCGGAAGGAAAGTAGACATTATTAAATGCTTTGAAAAGAAAGAAACAGCAACGAACATTGACCGATTGTTCGGCTTAAGTCGTTCGACTCTCACTTATAACATGTGCATATGTGTATACATATTGAGTCTCCTTGTAAGAGATAAGGGCATTTTCTTGTTAAACTATAAATTGTGAATTCCCGTTAAAAAGAAAAAAACAAACATGAGTTTGTTTTTCTTTCTTTCCCAGATTTGCTATTGCTCCCGAGTACTGCAACAGAGATAAGATCTTACGCTTCGTCATCTAGAGCCAATGACATTACTGGCAATAGATATACAAGCCGTTTAAAGCAATTTCATTTCCTTATATATTATCTCTTTTATATTATGTATTATATCTTTCACTATATGTAATATATTTATACCTTCCACGTGCTTTTTAGTCGTAATTATGTCAAGATGTCATAGAAATATCTTGTTACTTTACTGATGCGTTAGTATAGATGAGTTACGTAAGTGCTTATTCACGGAAAATCGCTTGTACGTTTCGACCCACACGGGAAATTTCATTATGACACATCGTAAGAACGGAACTGTTGTAACTTTTTTTTTATTTTACACTCTTTGTTTTCGAAACAATTTCTCATTTTGACATACATTATTCACTTGGTGTTTGGGGAATATGGCTTTTGTACCAAAGTTGCCAGAGACTAACAATATATTACAAATAAATTTGATGCACACACATGTATAAAGCCTTTTTGTACTTTTTTCATTTGAGACATACACACATTCTTTTTGTGCAGGATTCATTCAGTTTTTATTTATTTAAGTTGCTCTCTTACTGTATTGTCTACCTTCATAGTACGGTGCATTTTGTGTTGATCAAATGGTAAAAAAAAAAAAAAAAAACATTTATGTGAATTTGAATTCCAGTTAGAAAAATTCAAACGGGGTGAATACTTATGCAAAGCACTGTAGATAGATAGATAGATAGATAGATAGATAGATATGAAATGAAATGAAATGAAATGACTGAGATAGATAGACAGACAGACAGACAGATAGATAGATAGATAGATAGATAGACGGACATGAAATGACACAGATAGATATTAGATAGATAGATAGATTCCTGTAAGCATTAAGAAACACACAGTGAAAAGATGCTTGCGTAGCTTTTATAAGAATCTCGCATATTTTGTGATTTTCTTTTTTCATATTAAATGTATTTAAATATGATTTATCTTTTTTTGGAATCGGCGCCCTGAGCCTTGCCATTACGGAAAGAAAACTCTTGCATTAGAATCTGGTCTTATAGCCAGTAAATCTTTGTGCAATGGTTACCAAACTTGTCTCACTAGATCAATTACGACTAAGTAGTGAGTTCGATCCTCACTGGTTGCACCATACTTACGGCCTTATGCCGCATCTAAGATACGCTTAGAAAATCACCTAGT